CCCCCCCCCAAAAAAAGTGGATTGTCACATGAAGGTATCTCCTCCTATAGGAGAACTCAGAGGACGATAAGAAAAAGGGCCGGTCAGCAGACAATGAAGTTAGTCAGGTGAGAGGCTCTCATCTGTGCTGTGTGGCTTAGATGAACAGTGTAGCGCCGCGCTCTTCGACCTTGGTCCTGAAGAGTCCCGGTGGCCGAAGGCTTCCTGTCCCCTTCAAAGCAACACTTTTGTCTCTCTGGGACCACGGCTGGGGACTTCTGCTTTGGTTGTGTCATCTTCTGACTATGTTGGGCCTCTTGAGTTCACACTGCACTTTCCTCTGTGTGCACTTGAGCCATGTCCACACGTACCTGGATGTTGTTTGATTTTTTTTTTTTTTTTATTTCCAGCCGCCGGGTGAAAGCAAGCGCTCGGACTACACACACAACAGGTTTTTCAAGAGCACATGAAAAACACGCTGCACATTTTTTCCCATCATTTTGGGGAGTCGTGTTCAGTGAAGAGCAGTGAATTTAGCTTTCCGTTCAAAATGGGCTCTTTAACAATACTTTGGCACTCACCGAAGGGTCATGGTTCCAAATCACCCCTCGTCGATATGGAGACCGGGAGTCGCCAAAATTATTCTGAGGTGGATAACGTCAAATTGGCATCATTACAGCAAATACTTTACGGTCCTAAAAATCACATCGTCTTTGTTGCGCCGTACATTGATTGCACACAGTTGATTACCTCCAAAGCCACGACTGGCATAAACTGAGGACTCCCACTCGGACTGACCGATATTTCTTTCTCCTATCTGAATCCAGACAGGAACATTCAAGATATGAAAATTGAAATGAGGACAATATCGGTCAAGTGTAAATCTCAGTTCAACCGGGCACATTCCTCCTTCCAAGTTTGGCCTTGATTGACGGTTACAGCCAGCTGATGCCGCTCATCTTGCGGAGGGCGCGAGGGACACACGCAGCCGCTGCTGCCTCGACAGCACATCCAAGAAATCCACTTCCGCCTTGACTCTCAAGTATCAACGGACGGGGCACATTGATTGTCCTTTCGAACATGATGCGACCGTATTTCTAAATTCCAAATGACCAGAGGAGAAAATAGCAGAGCTTGTTGTAAAAATCTACGAGCGCCTTGCGGCTCCATTCCATTGACTGCGAAAAGCTCAGGCGCACCTTTTTGAAACGATCCGTGTACGTGTAGAGATGAGCCCTTCGTATACGACTCGGATTTGTAACTGCGGACGAGCCTATCTGACATGTTCTCTGTGGTGCTTTTTGGCTTCCAGTCGCCTGTTAAGAACGGCACGCCCTCCCTGCTCTCCTCCTTCTCCTCCTCCACTACGTCCGGCTCCTCCTCATCGTCCTCCTTGGTGTCCATGGCGAGCGTGGTCGGAGGCGGCCCCGTGGTTCCGACCAGCAGCGGCCTAATAGGAAGCTTCAGCAGCGCCGTGCAACAGCATCAGCATCTGCCAGCGCAGCAACAACAACAGCAGCAGCAGCAGCATCACGCTCAGCCGCAGAACCAATCGCAGCAGCAGCCCCCTCTGTCCAAACCGTCGGCTCCCTCAAACAGCACCCCCAGTCCGCCCGGCAACCTGCTGCTCCCGGCCTCCACCGCCTCGTCTCTGCCGGCGCCCAGCACGCCCGTCTCCTCAGCTGCCGGTTCCCTCGCCCAGCCCTCGTCCGGGTCCGCTCCCGTGTCCAGCTTGGGGCTCGGGCTCGGATTGGGTTTGGGCAAAGGGGGCATGACGGGGACCGGCGGAGCCAGCCAGATGTCTGCTTTAGGCCTGGGGGTCCACTCGGCGCCCCTGAGCACCATGGCGGGGCTCATTTCGGGGTCCACGCCGGCGCCGTACGCGCAGGCGGCGGCGCCGGGGGGCTTGGGCCTGAGCGGCAGCGGCGGCACGCCGTCCAGCATTTCAGTGGAGAGCAGCACGTCCATCATCACCACCTCCGGCTCCAGCGGCGTCACCACCAACGGAGCGGCTACGGCGCTCGGCCTGCTGGGCTCCGGCCACGGCTCGCTGAGCGGAAGCATTCTGGGCCTGGTGTCCGGCCAGAACGCGTCGTCCGCCGCCTCTCAGGCGCCCCCCAGTTCCGTCAGCGCTTCGCCCGGAGTGGTCGGCATGATGGGGGGCAACGGCGGCATCGTCGGAGGCGTGAGCGCTGCGCCTGCCCGACCGCCCAGCGGACTCAAGCAGAATGGAAGCACAAGTATGTGGCCTGGTGGCCTCCCTCAGTGTTTGGCAAACTTGATTGAGGCCTTTTGAAAAATCTCACCGCGCATTGCCAAAAATTCAAGATGGGAACACGGGTTCATTGTGTACCTTTTACAGTGCGACGCCATGGTTGTTCTTTTCGTTTTGCCGTACGACTGAGTTTTGTTCACATGACGGCAACATAAACCGAATTCGTACGTGAGTTGGAATGTGCCGAAGTCCATCGCGAACCTACCTCTGCGAGCGCCGTCGTTGAGCCGTTACTTGGACTTATTTGATCTTCTCCCATCTGGTGGAAGAGTATGCAAATTTGAATATCGGAGATTCCCAGGCCAGTCTCTCTCAACTTTTGAACGACTCACAAAACGTTCGCCATGTTGTGCTTACGGCTGAAATTTCAGAATGAACCTAAAATGGACTACGAGATACCGGAAGAGTCACAGAAAGGCAGCGCTCGTTCCCGTGCTTGGGAGTTTTGTTGCTGGCTTCATGGATCCAGCACCTGATGTGAATTTAAGTGAAGGCAATTTGCAAGAAACATGACGTGTACGTGCATGACTTGCCTTTGCGGGCCACATCAAATGATTTCCCCCGGGCCTCGAGTTTGACACCGGTGGTCTTCACTGTCACTTGACAGTAAATGTATCCCAAGCATGTGTCGGCCCTTCATAAAACAGTATTGGTCTTCTTTTGTATTCCGTCGCTGTTACGCCAACTAGTCAATTGTACACAATTTGTCACATCAGAGCGTGTCTTTTTTTTTTTTTTTTTTTGCGTGTCGAGCACACTTTCTGTGACACCGCAAAAGGGGTCCCAACCCCGCTCGAAATGCAAGTCAGCGCCATTGTCCTCCGTGCTGGCTGACCTTCTGCCATCTCCTTCAGGTTACAGCGCTGTCGTGGCTGAAAGTTCGGCGGAGTCGGCTCTCAGCACCCCGAGCCAATCTCAAAGCAGCCAGCCGTCATCCCTCAGTTCCTCCACCAGCCAGCCGTACGTCCGCCTTTTCCTTTTGCACTCTTGATTCTGCTCGGTGCGCTCCAGACTCGTAGTGACCGCTCGTCCCTCTTGCCCGCGCAGGTTGGACAACGGGCCCAGCTTAATCAGCTCCATCACCTTACCCCCGAGCTCGCCGTCGCCCTCCTTTTCGGACAGCACGCCCGGCGGAGGGAGCCTCCTCAACGGGCCCCACTCCTACACGCAGGCCTCCGAGGGCCTCAAGGTGAGCTCCGCTAACTGACTCGACATCATCTTACGTGCCACGGGGACAGACTGCAACCTGCCGCGCCTCTTTCAAATCCGCCGCGCACGTCAGAGGAGGAAAGTGTCTCCCAACAGTCACGGTTGCGCGGACTCGAGCAGAGACTTGCTAGCGCTCGAAAGAAGCGAAGGAAAATGTGGTGTTTCAGCAGCTGCTAAAGGCATGACTCAAGTTCATCAAAATGGTGCTGAGAGAAAGGAAAGCAAAGCGTTCTAAAATGTTCAGGGCAACTGTGTTGTATTTCAAAGGTGAAATACAACTGAACTGTACTTCACAAATGTACTGTACATGCTTTAAAAAAAAATCCCTGCTCTGTGTCAAGAAGTCTGCTTGTTGTTTTTTTTTTTTTTTTTTACCTTTAAGATAGCCCCCTCTTGTTTTCTCTCCCG